TCTTTTCAAGTCATTAAAGATATGTATATTAGAGCTATTATTTGTGTTCAAAGAGGAGGATTGATCAAGTATTTTCCTATTTTAATTGGATTACATTAGAGTTTAGTTGGATTAAATCATGGATTAGTTCTAAGTCCAAATCTTTTTTGCTTTAGTTATAGATGTTATTATTGGAAATTTATAGGTGTAGCTTTTCGCTGATGATATTTTTCTTGTGGATAAGATTAGAGGGTTGCTGATGATATTCTTCTTGTGGATAAGATTAGAGGAGTTCAAGAAAAACTTGAATTATGAAGGTCTACAATGGAGTCTGAAGGCATTCTTTTGAGTAGATCTAAAACTGAATACATTAAATGTAATTTTAGTAGTAGCAGCTTTAGCGATAAAGTTGTAACTATAGGTGATCAAATCATTAAAAGGTGTGAACAAGGTGTGAACTTTTTATGTCTCAGGTCTATAGTTCAAAGTGATAATGATATAGTTGGAGATGTTATTAGTAGAATTCAGGTTGGTTGGTTGAAGTGGAGGTCTGCATCAAACTTATTGACTTATTGGGTGATAGAAAAATATTGCCTAGACTTGAAGGAAAATTTTATAAGATGGTAGAGAGACTTGCAATGCTTTATCACGCAAAATGTTGGCCTTTAAAAGAGAAACTTAAAACAAAGATAAATGTTGTTGATATGAGAATGCTTAGGTGGATGAGTGGCTTGACACTTAGAGACAAAATGCAAAACGAACCTATTCGTGAAAGTGTTGGTGTAGCTCTAGTTTCAGACAAGATTAGAGAGAGTCGTCTTAGATTGTTTGGTCACATTAAACGTCGATCATCTAATTATTCGGTGATGGAAGTAGATGTTTTAGATTCAATTTATGTTAAGAAGGGCAGAGATAGACCTAAAAATAATTGAGCATATTGTATAAAAATTGATCTTAATCTATTAGAATTAAATTAAAATATGGTACTTAATAGGACACAATGGAGAAAAATGATTCATGTTGTCGTCCCCACTTACTGGGATAAAGACTTGTTCTTAATCTATTAGAATTAAATGAAAATATGGTACTTAATAGGACACAACGGAGAAAATTCATTCATGTTGTCGTCCCCACTTAGTGGGATAAAGACTTGCTGTTGCTGTTGTAAGTAGGTTTGATGTTGATGTTAGTTAAAAATATTTTATTAGAGAGAACATTTAAGGGTTGATGTGTATTAAGAGATGATAAAAATCGGTAATAATTGGTTGATTAATGTTACGTAGTAACGATTCTGAGGACTTGCTCGAGATCTTAGCTGGGCTGGCTTCTTCTTGTATAGACCTGAAGGGATACATTTAGTATAAAGCTAATATTTATATAGTTTTGGGTTTCAGGAATATCAAGATAGAAAATATTGTCAAACTTATCTTTAAATTTAGAATTCTCATTGAAGATAAGTTTGAATGAAAAAACCATGAGTTTCATCAAAAGTGATGTCCATTGAAGTGAAAATTTTTTTATAGATGGATAATGACATTTAAATCCCTTTTGTTTGGCAGAATATTGGATAAATATAAACTTGAGAGCTCATGGATTATGTTTTCCTCTATCTTCTTTATGGATATATGCATAAGTAATGCTTCCAAAAAATCTAGGAGAGATCTTTAAGAAATTATTTGTAGGAAATAACTCTACATAATAATTTAAGTGACTTTTAGATACAATTACTTTTTAAGGTATTCCATTGATTAAATAGGTAGTTGTTAGAATAACTTAATAATATTATTTTGATATTTAATGGTGGAGAAGTGTCCTAGTTACCTCCAAAAGTTGGTGATTTTGTTGAATAGCACTCTCTTTCTTAAAAAAGAATAATAGTATGTAATTAAAGTAATCATGAGTATATCAGTTCTAAAAAAATTTTGATGTTAGAATTGATTCCTTATCATGACATTTATTATAGGGAGTATAGTGTTAACGTCAATTTCTTGTTTAATTAAATGTGCCCATCTCATTCTAGTGCAGTCTTCAATAAAAATAGTAAAATAAATTACTTCCGAGATATGTGTATTTTAAAGGGTCCCTAGATATTAGAATAATCAATACAAAATGACAAGAGGATATATAGTTATTTCCATGAAAGGAAATACGAGGATGTTTAGCAATTTCATAAATTTTACAATGGAAATTTTTTATGTATCTATTTATAAGCGAAGGAAACATATGCTGAAGATTTTAAGAAAGGTGCTCTACTATATAATAGGTTGTCTGGATAATTTTGGTGGTGTGAGGTGAAGGAGCATGATAATTGACCTTGGTCCTCAGGAAGTATAACTCATCCTTTTCACTTGTTTGCTCAGTCATCTTCTTTGTAGTGAGATCAGAAAAACACATTGATTTGTAAAGATGAATTTGCAGTAATGATTTTTTATCAATTTATGGATTGATAAAAGATTAGCCATAAGGTATGAAACATACAATGCATTATATTGAGGGTTAAGTTGTGAGAAATTGAGATGTATGTTCTAAGAGTTGTTAAAGATTCATCAGCAATTTTTATTTTTCTATTGTAGAACTAGAATTTTTAACTTTAAAATATGTTGTCAAGATTTGTCATGTGGTGAATGGCTTATGAATCTAGGATTAGGAAGGGAAAGAATAATTAGTTGCACTAAAAATATAGGAATTAGAAATCATGTCATTTGGACCAAAAAACAAAATCATGGTAATTTTTCTAGGGGTCATGTCATTTGGACCAAAAAACAAAATCATGGTAACCTTGGAATTGAGAAATTCATTGATCTCATCTGAATTGAGTACTTTTGACTCCATTAGGTATGCCTTTTTTATTTTTCATTGTTATTTACTCCATAACCTTGGAATTTTTTATAAAGTTTGTAGTTTTGTTTTTTATTTGCTTATTTCTTTTAAAATGGTTGCACCAGAGATTAATTTTGGAAGAAAATTTTTATCTTTCTTCTGGCGAATGTTCTTTGATAAACAATCTCTTATTTTGGGATTTAGGAGTTATCTTGGTAGATATTTCGAGGGCCCCATGCTTCTTTCTTTTCAGCCCATACAAAAGAGAACATTTCATTTGGAAAAGGGGAGATTTTCTCTACTTAAGATTTGGATTCAAATTTACTTAAATTTATTTTTGAATCTTATAAGACACTAAAAGATTCTCACTTGCTCCAAAAATCGTTTGAGGATCATCTTATCCTCATAGCATGACATTTTGAGATCTAGGCAGTAGGCTAACTTTAATCAGCGAACTTTAATGATATTAAACTATTCAATGTGAGAATGTTATCTTGTTTGGTAGTAGTGAATTTTGTTTTTATTTTGTAAAGGAGCCTAGCACCTTCGACTTTTTATTATGTTCACTTAATTGCATTCCAAACCTCTTTTGCGATCAAGAGGAACATAAAAGGCCCTCTAATATTTGGTAACATAGTGTTTCACAAGTATGTTGTGATCATGAAATCATTTTCTTCCCAAAGTGTGAACTTTGGATCTTCGGGCTCTGGAGGTAGATCCACAATGTGCTAAATCTTTCCTTTTTCTTTCAAAAAGATATGCACAATTTGGGATTATTTACAGTAATTTTTATTGTTCAAATGATAAAGATACTTGAAATCACTAGATCTCTCCCCTGGTTTTCATCACTTATCATGGAGAACTCCTTAGATTGCAATCCATATATTTTTTATATGTTATCAAAACGAGGCTAGGATTTTTTCTTCTAATAATTGTTCTTTTATTCCAAGGTTATAATTTTCACATCTAACCTTATTCTTACCTTTGTTCTTTTTGGCGATCCAATAGAGGAACACACGGATTGCAATCTAATGGCTATAGAATTGATCCAATGATAGAAAACTTTCGTCCATGTGCCTTAAGTGTTTTACTATGATTGGAGAGTGGTCACCACCATGGAAGAAAGAGGGTGCGTGTGTGTGTGTGAGAGAGAGAGAGAGAGAAATTCAGCAGTCAGAGAGAGAGAGAGAGAGAGAGAGAGAGAAATTTAGCAGTGTTCCATACAATTTGGTTTTGACGTTTTGCTTAGATTGTGTACTTCCAAGTTTATTGAGTTTGAACTCATGTTTGCTGTATTCCTTCTCCAAACTATGTGCTATCAGAGTTTGTTGTGAAAAATCATTTAGACATACTTTTGGACTTGCAGTGGACCCTACCTAGTGTGGCTTAAGCTTTTGGGATGCTCCACTAGCCTATGTGGTCAATCGTGTGCCACTAGTGTTCCTTCCTAAAGCTTATGATTAGCTGCGGCCTTGAGAAAATTATGTCATTGATGTGATTTTGATTGCTTAGTGGTTGTGAAATGCATTTTTCTCTGACTTACTAAACTAAATTTTCTGTTGAATCGTCTCTTTTAGGTATTAATGCTTTAATGCTCGACTCATTGGATTTTAATATGGTAACTTTGTTGATGTGCAATTGTACTACCGAGCTGGTGAAAGTGTGAAACACATAATAGTGTCACATTTGCATTCAACATTCTTTTGATGAAATTCGGAACACTGGACTATAATGTAGGAATCCATCACCTAACACTGAGCATGGTTGTTATCAGGATAAGATGCGCTTCTGTAATAGTATGAAATCCTAGTTTTTGTTTCTGTCAAGGTTTAAAAATATTTTAATTTTGTTTTTGCTCATTGGATTGGTGGAACCTTGTATATACATGAATTCCGTTAATTGTGCATGCATATTTGGATAAATGTAGTTTATTAAGCCATTCCATGTGTTCCTATTTGAATAATATGTGGAAGTCAGAGCTGAATAAATGCAATCGCTTCTGTTTTGTGAAATATGATTGTCCAAAGTTTTTATTCTTTATTGAGATGATAGAATATTCTATTAGTAGAAGTTTATCTTAAGCCGTTTTATAAAACTATTTATGAAAGAGCTTGTTCTTGTTCAAAACCATGGGGCTGTAAAGATGGAATGGAACTATGGACTCTTCATGAGTCTGATGAGTTTCTCTTGAAACTGCACAGGTCTACTTTCTTTCCACTTAAACAGAGCATCTATGGCTTTTCGAGGATATGTTTCATCATCTTTATCTGGGAAGCCTGTGCAGGCGCCGGGAATGATGCGCCATGGCCCGTTTCCAGGATATTCGCCTTCTGGACTCCACCCTTTGGAGCCTGTAAGCCATGCTGAAGTTCTGGAAAAGAAGATTATGACTCAGGAGGCTGAGATGGATAGCCTTACTATGGAAAATCGAAGGTTGGCAGCTACTCATGCGGCACTGAGGCAGGAGCTTGTTGCCTCTCAGCATGAGCTACAACGAATCCATGCTCATGTTGGAAGCATCCATAATGAAAATGACAATCAGATCAGGGGCTTGTTGGAGAAGATCTCAAAAGCTGAGGCTGATATCTATGCTTCTGAGGATGTAAGAAAGGAACTTCAGAAGGTAAATTTGGAGGGACAAAGACTTCTGGCTGAAAGGCAGGAGCTAACAACTGAAATCCAGCGCTTGACGGAAGGTCTTCAGAAAGCCAAGGCTGACATTAAAAACCTCCCTGAATTGCATACTGAGCTTGAAGGATTGAGACAGGAGCATAAAAATTTACGGTAACCAAATTCGTCGTTGTTCTAGTATTTTTTTTTTTTTCTCCGCTCTCTTTCTATCCTTCACTCCCTGCTTCATTTTGCCCCAAACTGTTTCCTTTTGCACTACTGAGTTCATGAATTGTACAATGTATTTTTTTCGGGTGAAAAAGTTCGGCCTTCGAGTATGAAAAGAACTTGAATAAAGAGCAAGTAGAGCAGATGTGTGGGATGGAGAAGAACCTTATAACAATGGCAAAAGAAGTTGACAAGCTAAGAGCTGACATACTGCAAATAGAGAAGACTGCACAGGGCAAGTATTATCTAACTCTTCTGATTATTTTTAGCCAACAATTCCCTTCTGATTTCTCAATTCTTCGTCGTCATATGGGACCGCAGCTCCTGTTTACCCTTCTGTCGGTCAAGTTCTTGTCCACAACCCAGATCAGGGTTACTCTCAAGGCGCTGGCTATGCAGAAAACGCCAATGCTGTAGCTATCAGTTATCCAAATTCTGGTTATAGCCATGGTGGTTTTAGTGGATATGTTCCAGGGTATGGGATGGTATCAACAACTCAAATGGCAGGTGCGGCTGCAGTTCAGGGAGGGAATGTCTACAGTACGG